TGCGATATTTACATAGATATTTCTTATTGAATAGAGCTTATTTTTATTGTTCTTCCAACTGCATTTGTGGCATTTGTGTTGCCTTCAAATCAATGACAGACGATCAAATTTCAAAATGAAGTCTACTTTTTATTTCCCAATCAATCTCTGCGATCACTTTATACAACCAACCTTTTCTTACGGTAGACTATACTGTAGAATAAGTTGTATAGGTTTTTAAAATTAAATTTAATAAGATTGAAAATAAAACAAATTACCAAAATTAATAAAATAAAATTATTCTACATTTTTAAATATAATCAAAAAATAAAAAATCACATTTCGCGGTTCAAGATATCATGCTTAAAACGTAAAGAGTCAATTCCTCCAGTTGTTCGACAATATACAATATACCCTAAAGTTTTGGGCGCTTCTTGTTAAGTGATCCACTTGTCACACAACTCCCTACAACAAACATCTGAATACAGGGTATAAAAACCAACAGTGTGCAAAGTCAAATCAAAGCAATCATGTTTTTGTCAATGGTCAGTTTGTGTCATTTGGCTATTACACCCGACACATTTACAAAAACAACAAGTAAGAGGTTCGAGTCGGGAGCTCCCGACTAGGGCATACCCTGAAACCTCTTCTTCCAACATCAAATGCATATAAATATTCTATTTTAGAAGCTATATGTTAAGTTTGGTGACTCTAGCTCTTATTATTTACCAAAATTGCCCAAAAAACAGGATATCGACATCGATTTTTATCGATTGCTTGGAAACGGAGGAAACAAACTCGATCTGCGCGGGAGCCAGGAGCACCAGGAGCATCTAAAGTCTCTAGCTCTTATAGGTTCTGAGATCCTTGCGTTCAACATACGGACGGACGGACAGACAGACGGACATGGCTAGATCGACTCGGCTATTTATGCTGATCACGAATATATATGTATTCTTTATGGGGTCGGAGATGCTTCCTTCTGCCTGTTACATACATTTGGCTTTCGCACAAACACAATATACCCTTATACCCATTTTTAATGGGTTCAGGGTATAAAAAAAAAACCAAAACCAAAAAAATAATATAAAACAAAAGACTCTCGAGATACAAAAGAGCAAATAACTGAATCAATCCGAAAACATCGAAAAATACCAAAAGTAAATGGAAAATAAATTTCTCACCATTGATGGAATGCAATACGACACGTTGCCATTCGACACTTTTCTGAAATTTTATTTACTTTTTTTCCTTTTTTTTTTGTGCACTGTTTCTCTGCAGCCATTATCAAATAATTCAGTTGTAATCTATTTTAATCTGTCGTGCTGTGTGTGCCTGTGTGTGTGCACCGGAAAATCATTGGGAAAATGTTGCTACAGGTTGACTGCTTGTATTACCAAGCGCAACCGAATGCGCTATGAATTCATTTATTTCACCATTTTACTAAACAGTATGCAGCATTAAATCTGCGAAACAGATACAAGCACACACACACACACACACACTCGTAAATACACGGACACACACATATGCATAGCATATTCGCATTGATAGAGCTGTCAAAAAATATTTGCTTTACGCATTTTTTCACAACGTACTCAGTGCATGAGCCGAAATATGCAGCTGATTAAATGCACTCAAAGCGGCTTAGTGTAATGGACAAATCTAAACGGAAAAACATTTATTTTCTTTTTTGCGGTAGCTTAAATTATAAAGTATCATTTGGCCACGAATTAAACAAGCGCACCGACTTTAAATATGTTATCAAATTAAGCCGCTGCCGCTCAGCATTTCAATAAAGAAATTTTATCGCCAGCTGTATTAAAAGTAACCGAAATAAGTATTAAATGTATTATGAATGTATTATTGAATGTATTATGCCATAATAAATAAATAAATAAAATATACTTGAAAAAATAACGGCGCGCCACCCTGGTCAAATGCTGCGGCGTAGTTTGAACCAGCGACTCGGCAATCGCCAGACCGACGCGCAGACACCTAAGCCACGCTCACTTTATCGTCACATTCGCAGAACACATTTGAATTGCTTTGCTTTTTGCAAATGCATTTCAAGCAAGCTTTGACAACCGTTTTTCGCCACTTTCAAATAGAATTTTTCATTTTCTTAGTGCTTAGTGCAATTAGTCGTTGATTCAGACTGTATTATAAATTTCACTTATTAGTATTACTCACCGGCAAAGATCTTGACTTGTCCTTCAAGTTATAGATATAACTTATTACCTATTTTCCGGCCGATGTCATACAAACTCTGTCACAGTTTTCCACTTTTACAGCTCCATCACATAAGAGAAATACACATAAGGAAAATATCCAGCTCTTACGGTTCGGGTCAGTTAGTCAGAAAATACTAATGGATTGCAGCGCTTAATAAGACAAATTAAACTATAATATTAAAAGAAAATGTATTCACAAGGCGACACGCATTCCCAGCTGCAAGGCGATAAAGTATTTGCTGTTTACAATTCGCACAAGCGAGATACATTTTCCTAAAAGATACAAAAAATAACAATGTTAAATCAAATAAACTGAAAGAATTGCACACATATTTTGACCAAAAAAATAATAGATATATATATTTATTTATCTGCGGGCATTTATTCAATATTCCCAACAGATTTCTGAGCTGCAATTGTGTTTGAGGGCATTCCGAAGATTGAATCTTTTATGTGATGTATGCAATAAATATGCAGTAGTTCATATTTATCCATATTTGAAGCCTCTTCCTCTTATTTTTGGCATGCTACACTCGCGCACATATCATTATCAGATGGAACAAATGTGTTTGCCTCTGCGACTGACCTCAGGCTCTGCACTCAATGCGGTCAGCTTGGCTCGGCCGCCCTTCTGGCCCCCTAGTCGACGTGATGTGCAGCAAGTGCTATGCAAATGTGGACAGTTTCGGTGTCCCTTGCATTATTCATTCCTGTTCGCACTTTGGCAGCTGGTTCGATTCGAGCGGCGCCTGCGGGCCATGTACTCAAGTTAATTAAAGTTTGTTTTTCTTGTACGAAAAGGACACTAAAATGTCACCCAAAAAGCCAAAGACAAATCGCTGTAGCTGTTCGCCTAGTGCTGATATATAGCGCGGTTGTTGCCCATCATTTATAAGCCCCACAGTTGCATTCATTTGTGTGCAACCGCGTAGCAGGTAATCAAGTTGCAGCAGCACCTGCAGCAGCATCACGACACCGCGCTTGCCACATATGAATCTGTTAACAGTAACCAGCAACTGCCAACTGGGCTAACAGCTACAAAGATTTTGCTTAGCTTTTAGCGCAAATTGAAAAATGTTTTTTTTTTTGTTAAGTTTTCATTGGCCATTTGGGCAGCTTCTTTGCAGCAGCCGAGCAGCCAACGACAAATATGGACAGCAAGCGTCTGCCGCAGCTGGCATAGAGACATTGGCACAAAGCCGTTTTCGACCATTTATCAGTTCTATGTTATTGGCAAAAAAAAATAAATAATGAAAAAAAAAAAACATTTTCGGACACACCGAAGTTTAAATTCCCTGACATATGGTAAAAATAAATATATTTTGGAAGAAAAATGAAGCTAGTAATTGCTGGGTTTGGTCGAGAATTCTTGAAAAATCAAAAACAAGATCTTTCAATTCGATCGATAATACAAATGATAACTATTTGGTCGATTCCGTCATATTCCCAAAAAACAGAAAGACAGATAGATCATGACAATAGAAGAAGGAAACAAAACATGGAAAAAAAGACTCGGCCGTTGATACCGATTAAGAATATATATGCCTTACATAATACGTGATGTCTTCTTCTAAACTTTACAAACTTCATTGCAAAATTATAATACCCTAAGAAAAGGTATAGAAAAACGAGAAGAAACCAAAGCAAAGCGAAGGCTGAAAGCCAGCAACGAGAACAAATGCAATAAAATGCAATGTTTCTATTACAACGATTTACGTTCCACACACACTACAACACAAAGCCTTTTTTGTGTGTGTATGTGTGTGTGGGAGTGTGTTGTCGTCATGCTTTCAGCTAGCAACTGCCCCTTCTGCCCCTCTCAATAGAACACTCTGAGCATTTCGCGTGCTGCAACATTTTTATTGCTTCGAACAAATTTTGGGCGGCCAACCAAATGTTAGCAAAGTTTCACGGGTTGTTGTCCTGACTACCCATTGTCCTTGTTGTTATTGTTGTTGTCGTTGTTTGTTAACTAGCGCAACTTAAGATAAGCAGCTTTCTGTTGTAGTTGTTGTTGTTGCTATTGCTGGCCACTCACATTTATTTTCTTTTGGCAATTTTAATTGCTGTTGAACTTGGTGTTGGCTCCAACGGCAACAACATTAATGACAGCAATTACAACAACAACAATAGCAACAACAACAACAACAACAACAACAACAACATCGAGTCGTGTGTGCCATATATTTGATTTAACTTGTTGGCGCTAAAAGTTTACACAATATTTTGTTGCAGCGCGCAAATAAATTTATTTGGCCCTTTAAAAACTATTGTGGGAATTTAGAGATTTGTGGCGCACATTATTGCAACAACATGAACAACAACACAGACTCGTAATATGGTTCAATTTATGGCATACTATTGCAATAATACGAAATTCTTATTTTTTTACAAATGCTCAATACAAAAATATAGAAATGAAATCCTAAAAGTACATTCAGTATAACTCTAAAAAAATAATAATACGGTCAAAATAAATATAAAAAAAAAATTAAATATTCTAAAAGCTATAGCTATAACTTATCTCTAAACCAAATATCAGTTTCACTGTTTGGTAATTCGTATCATAATTGACTTTTTCAAACTCTTGCTTAAACAAATAACTGTTTCGATACAACCCAATTGTAAAAAATTGTAAGTTACATTTCAACAACGCATTTCTTATTAAGCCGACTAGCGACAATTATAATCGAATTTAATATACTTTTGTTTCTGTGCATATTTTATTCGCATGCTGCAGCTTAAGGAGCATAAAAGAGTTGGATATAAGTTATTTCACTGAATATATTACTGAATGTTCTCGATGGTGTCCAGCAGCCAGTCATGAAAATGTGCAACATTGGCATAAACTCCTGGATATCCTGGCGTGGCGCAGCCCCTACCCCAAGAAACAACACCAACAAGTTCTCCATTATATACCAAAGGGCCGCCAGAATCACCATCGCAAGCATCTTTTAATTCTCCGGCAGCACAGATCATGTCCTCAGTGATTTTATAACCCATCATAGGATATTTGGTCAATGCGCAGATCTCATGGTCGATCATTTGAACCTTTACCCCATGCAAGTCTTCTGGGTATTCAAGGCCTATGTTGCCCCAACCTGTTACAAACGCGTCGGCTCCGTTTTCGGGAATTTCCGTGGCCAAGGGAATTTGTTGCACTAATGGCCCAAATTCAAGCGGATGAGCTAGCCGCACAACAGCGATATCATTATCGGTCGTTTTTGGATCGTAAGCTGAATGGCTTACAATGGCGGCAACCTGCTCAAGCTGACCACCAGACAACTGCTGTGCGGATCCGGCCCGGACTGTCAAGTGTTCCTCAGCAATACCCACCACACAATGGGCCGCAGTTATAATGATATCCTCGCTGTAAATTGAGCCGCCACAATGAGGTGCGCTATCATTCAATATTGCCACCTGCCAGGGTGCATCCTCAATATTGATGGGCGTTCCATTTATAATGCGTGGCTGCAACTTCTGGAGGCACAATACTCGTGCGTCCGGACGCGCTGCCGTCGAGATCAACAGGACAAGTGGAGCCAAGTAGGTCTCCATGTTGTGGTAGAAGTATTTCTGTCAACATTGAGTCCAAGCCTCTCAGCTTTTATAGGCCCCTTCCGCTGGTCTAAGAACGAACGAGTCGTCACTCATTGCCAACATTGTCGAGTGTTATCTAAAATTAATTTTACTTCTACTTCAACACTTAAGATTTTTTACATTGTAAATCATAGGAATGCGTTTAGCTTGATATCCATTAATAATACCCTGTACTGATAATGTTTGCAAATAGAAAATTTTGACTATTAGCGACAAGCGTTACGTAAATAAAGATTATTAAACTTAAGTATGCTTTTGTATACACGCCTTCAGAAGAATTAGGAATTATGCCGTACAATATCGCATTGCAAATCTTAAACTTTATGACTAGTTAAGTTCGGATCAGACAACTATATAACATAAGTAGCTAAGAGATAAGCTAATGCTTAGAAAAAATTTCAAAATTGCTTTGGAATAAAAATATTCATTGGTAATAAAAAGATCTTACAGAATCTTGAAAATATCTTCTTTTTTCACTTTCGAGCAAATATTATTCTAGCAAAATATTATTAATATCCAACCATAATATAATATTGTTTATATATAAACAATCGACTGGAAATAGAATTACTGGACAAAGAATCGTGCTTTGGGCAACTCAGGTTTAAATTGTAAGCTGTTTCTTTATTTGTTTCATACTAAAATATAAGCCGTCCCCAGACCTTAATTACATTCACATAAAAAATAAACATAAAAATGAAGATAATTCTTAGACAGCGGGTTGAAGTAAGTTTAAAGAAGAGAAAGAACAAGGAATATGACTATAGAGCCAAGTACAAGGTAAATAACTGTGAGATTATGATCAGATATAAAGTTTATTTAATTCATAATCAAAATATAAACATCTATAACAAAAGCACAAATGCAGTAAGGACTCATGAGAATAGCAGAGAAAAAAAATGTTAAAATGCACATTTTTTATTGGAGCACTGGGGAAGGCTATTAAAAAAGCGATCTAAGCAAAGTCAGTATAACAAAATATACACACATACATTGGGTATACAATAAAATACTACAATTTTATACATTGAAACCTTTTTAATTCATTTGCTTAGACAGGTAGTTGCTCAGTTGTATAGTTATTTTCGAGCTCTGCAATCGCCGTCTGTAGCCATTTATTAAAATATGCAACATTGGCATAAACTCCCGGATATCCGGGCTTGGCGCATCCCTCAGCCCAAGAAACAACGCCCACAAGTTGAGCATTAGATACCAGAGGTCCGCCAAGGTCATTACCGCATGCGTCCTTGCCCTGATCGGTGGCGCAGATCATGTCCGCGGTGATTTCCCAACCAATCAATGAATATTTGGAGAGAGCGCAGTTCTTGCGATCAACGATTTTTAGGCTTACCCCATGCAATTCAGTTGGGCGAACACATTCCCTTCTCACTTTGCGAACACCCCAGCCAGAAACATAAGCATCGGCTTCGTGCTCAGGACTTTCTTTTGCCAACGGAATTGTTTGAACCGAGGGTCCAAGCCGAAGCGGTCGAACCAACTTCAAAACGGCAATGTCATTTTCATGGGTCTCGCTGCCGTAGAGCTCGTGGATCCTGTAATCATCCACCTTCGCGAGCTGCCCTCCAGAGTTCCATTTCGTGGAACCAGCTCGCACTGTCAAGTGTGCAATGGACAGTCTGTCCCTCAAGCACTCCGCAGCTGTTATGATAATATCTTTACGGACGATCGAGCCACCACAAAAATGTTCGCTATTATTCAACAAAGCCACCTGCCAGGGCGCAGTTGCAATGTCAATTGGTCGGCCATTCACAATGCGTTGATGCCATGGGAGCCCCCATATAAAAGTTGCCTCCAGGAGAGCTGCCTTTGAGAGTAGCAGGACAAGCAGAGGCGTATAGATCCACATCGTAAGCTGGAACTTCTGTTGAAACGGAGTCAAAACTTGCTGCTTTTATAGGCCTTTCTTTTAATCAGCCAGCTGACAGTGCCTGATTTATGGGCAATGTTTTAGGAGCTTATCGGAATTGACTTTTCCGACTTTGTTAGGTTTGTTTTAATTGTAATTTTTACCTTGCAGTTAAGCAAATACTTAGCTTTCAAATAACCGACACGTGGTTTGACTGGAAATTACATAAATATATTTTTTTCCATGTTCCCTTTTTTTATTTTTTGGACACAGCACAAGTGAAACTCCTACGCCGTTCAATTCGAGCTCCGCCGTTTAAAGTATAAGCAAGTAGTCTATACATTTGTGGTACGTCAGTAAGAGTTATAGGTCTCCGGCATTCCGAAATAAGCTTTTTTTATTTTCTATCAGTATTTTCCGAGTTTCCGCTAAGAAAAGCGGCAGAAGAGTTGGGTAGTTCGACATCTTCTGGCAGAAATTCTTATGTTAAGTCCAAAACTTGTCGGTTTTAACGAACTGCAACTTTACATTGTAAGTTCCTATCGCGAATAACTTCCTCTCATTATTGCATTTTCCATTGACATTGAGTTTTGATACCACCAAGAGGATGGAATTGTCCCTAAATTGTCAGGAAAACCAACCAGCCAAGCCATATACGTCAGTCCCGTCAAAAACACGCATCCATATAAATATTGACCCAGAATTGGGTCTTAAGCCATAGCCCCAGATAGGTTCTCGTATTCGTTAATAAAGAATATTTAACTTGTTCGATACCTCGTATAAATTTAACCAAAATGACAATTTACCAACAGGGCCTAGCACTTGGGTATATGCATTTTATTTTCCTATTTGGACCTTGGACAATTCATATGCATCGGATAATAAGCACCGAAAGAAACCGAAAGAAATCTAAGAAACTGAACTTCTAAATAACATGCGCATATCCGGTATGTTATTTATGTAGTTTAACAAAATTTCCATTTCCCAATTACGTATAATATAGTTTTAATGTGGGGACTAGAGATATTTAATTGAATTCGTTATGCAAAACATTTATGTAGCGCATGTTGTATGTATGTGTGTTTTTTTCTAATGTCATTCGTTTGAATATTTTTGCTAATTTTAGCACAACAATTAAATTTTTGGTTCATTTTAAATGTCGGTCGCTGCCGCACGCGACGCGGGGTATGCGTAATGTGAGGGAAACATTTAAATTAGGATTAGTTGACTGTGAGAATGTGCGTGCGCATTAAAATCGAAACATATGCAAAATGTTAATGCAGCGCACAAATGAGGAAAATGGGAAAATGGGAAAAAGGATACCAACTATTTTGGCCAGTTGGCGATTTTGCATCTTTACGCTGTGGGCATATTGATTTCGGACGGGGACACATAAATTAATGCCCATCGCGTCTAGCGACAGTTGTAACCAAGCAGCGGCAGCCCCGGTGACCATTGACCATCGACCGTTGACCAGTTTGCCAAGAGTTGCAGCTATAACACCCCACCCCCAAAACACCCTTAACACCACCCACCACACCAGCCACACATGGTCCAGCTTACAGGCACGTCAACGGCTGGCGCGCATTTTAAAATTATATTATTTTGAATGGCTTTTTAGAAATTAATAATTACATATGACAGCGCTGTGTTTGTGTGTGTGGGCGTGGGCATGACTGCGTACGTGGCATTTAATTTTTTATATTATGCAACTGTCTGCGTGCTCTGTCGAAATGGCTTTAATGGGAATTTAAATTTCGCTAACTGCCAAATGCCAAATGGAAATTAAAGTTTCTAAATTTGAATCAATGAAAATAATCGTTGAAAATATGAGAAAAACTAAATTGCAAAATCATAATTGGTAAATCAAATATTTGGCTATGCAATATGCCATATATGTTTATTTTAAATTTATCTGATAGAGTCAAATTCTCAAACGCCAAAATCTGTCTATATTTACGAAGTGGTGATTGGGTCAATACATTTGGGGTGCTTTGCCATCGGTGTTAATTTGGATGCAAATCATATATATGTATATCAATTTTGTGCTTATTACCTATATAAATAAATTATATAAAATATACGCTGAGATTTGAACTTGAAATTTCAGTCTTAAATTAAAAAAAAAAAACCGGTCACATTTGCAATAAAAATGTTCAGGAAAAAAAGAAGATAAATAAAAATAGAATCTAAGTTCATATTTAACTACCTCTAGAGCCAATTTCTCACCTTTATTAACTCAAGAATTCTCTATCCACCATTGACAATTTTTCTGGCAATTTCAACCATTGTGCTTGGCCAACAACGGTTAGACAGGCTGCAGCTGTGGTCTTTTGCGCCAGCTTTTGTGCCCATATCACAATTTTTTACCCTGAACCCATTAAGCATGGTTAAAATGGGGTATAATGGTTTTGCGCACATATATGTAACAGTCAGAAGGAAGCATCTCCGACCCTATAGGGTACATATATTTTTGATCAGCTCCGTCTGTATGTCAGTCTGCCGTTGATTTTGCAGACTATAAGATCTAGAAACTGGAAAATTAAAGGTATATACACTCCTACATCATACGCAGAAACAGAGATGATTTTATGTTTCGATATTTCATAGGAGAAAGTTCGAATGTTGGCAGCGGCAGCTTTGCCCTGTGTTCGGGGTATCTTCTACTCTGGCACTCCCGGCAAAAGTAGTACATGTTTTATTTTTTTACATTTTTCTTTCTTTCGCTTTGGTCCCCATACGCAAGCCGCCAAATGTCTGGCCGTTGCTTTATTCCCACTACTTTTGCCCATTATTAATTGCTAACGTGCGCTGATTTCTTTGCTACACTTTTTACGGCTTTTTCTTGCTGTTGCTGTTGTTGTTGTTGTTGTTGTTGTTGTTGTTTTTGTTGCTGCCGCTGCTGTTATTTGTTGCTGTTCGCCTTTGCCTTTTAGCCATGTTCGCTGTTGTCTGCTCGCTACTCGCAGCTCGCAATGTTCGTTGTAGGTTGTCTTGTTCGTTTGGCTCAGCAGTGACATTCATGCACCGTCGGGCAACTGGAGCAGGAGCGACATTCAGGAGCATGTGAGGTGCCGAGTAATTCAGGAGGGGGCGGGGACGGGGGTAGCTTGTGCCCAATACGACAATAAATCAATGTGAAGTTGTAGTCAATATCCTAGCAGCGGCGGCGGCCTTTTAAAGTCAGTCTCTGGCAATTTAATTCAGGCGCCTAATGGGTATGCAACACTTTTTTTAATACCTCCACTGACAGCTGATCTAGGACATATGCAGATGTGTGTAGCTATAATAGACATATTTTATAAAATTCCAATTGCATTGCGTAGAATTGGCTTTAGTTTACGAAACTACAGAGTTGGAAAAATGTTTGGGCTGGAAGGTAAGATACATAGCTATGCAGTAAAATACCTTACCTAACTTATCCTGTGAGTAACTCTCTCTATCTCACTCTTTGCAAAACATAAATGGGCAATACTTTAGCTGCAAGCAACCTATCCTAATGAAAACAATATAAATGCATTATAGTTACAAGGTGCAGGTGTTAAAAAGTCGACTCAATGTACATCCATTACACTCGCAATTATTTGTGCTGTTCATGTCGTAAAGTACAAGCAACTGATTACATTTAATAAACATGTTAAATTGTTGCGTATATCTTTGGTAATCACTTGGATTGAACATTATTTGAATTTGCCTTTGCCAGCAAATCGAATACGAATCGATTTATAGTATTCAAATAAACTCGTGGCCAACACATGCTGGCTGCATTTGGCGCATCAAAACAAAAAGGCTTAAACATGCGTATGCAACAATACTATTAGATCGGCATTAAATGGTATTAGGGAGCACGGTTTGCGTACCTTTAAGCTCCGATTTTTGCATTGGCATCGCAAACTGTTCGAAACTAGAGCTTAATTGCAACTAGCCGCATTTTGAATATATACATAATTATTTGTTTAATAAAATGGATAGTTACAAATTTCTGAATTTGCTAGCGCACTTTTTTAAGCTGCAATTATGACAAATTTAATTAAACTTAAAACTAAACACAAGTTTTAATACATTCGTTTAATAACTACAGAGATAATTAGAAAATGTGTTAAAAAAAAAAAAAAATAATAATATTTGGGATGAATATAAATTTATTTATTGCTTATTATTATTTAATTGTTTTGAGGCTTTAATATAAATAAATCAAATAAAATATAATATTTCCAAATAAATTAATTATTATTATTTTAACAGAATGGACTCGAACTGAAGTTTCACATTTGCCAGGCGGACAGCTTTCCCTAAGCTACTACTAATCCAGGTAATTAAAAAATATTTATTTGATAGAATTAATTATACTATAGAAGGTCTCAAATATTCAAATTCTGTTTAATTCAATGGCTTCGAAAAAAATCCGATTTACTTGCTGACCCACTTACATTGAGTTGGCATGAATTTAAATAAACGAATAAAAATCGATCAATCTATATAAAATATTCAGTTGTTTATTAAAGCTCAACTCAACGGTATCATATAAATATATATATATATATATATATCGAATTTTAAGCATCAGCGCTCTGCCTATCGGACTCCGGATCCAACTTCACAATTTATTAATTATTCACTTTTAATTTAATTTGTATGCTGAATCGGATATCAAAGTAGAAAACGCAAATCTGAATATTCAACAGATATTTAATGCGATAAGAAACTTTATCACTTTTTCCGGAAAAGGGATGGGCTGGGGCCAAACAAAAATAAAAGCGTATGCAACAAGCTGTGTAAATTGTTATTGAAAGCAGGCCGACAGCCAGCAGCAGCCCACAAACAAGGCAAACAATGCAACGCCAACAGCAACAGCTACCGCTGCCACTGCCACTGCCACTGCAGGAGAGGTAACAAATGCAACTGCAACTGCAACTTAGTTACTTACAGTGGTTTTAACGTGGACAAAGAAAAAGCATTCGAGGCCAGCCAACAATGGCCAATCTCCGAATATATTGAAA